AATTACCTCATTTAGACTCCAGCCTATTTGAACTAACTCTTCTAATTGGGGGGGGGGGGGATTGAGGCAAAGTTTCAGATCAAAGGGCATTCCCACTATTAGGTAGTATTTTCTTATTGTTAAAGGAAAGCAAGCTGTCTCATTTCTTCTAAAGCCCCACTGTAACCACCACTATTAATATCACTCTTGTGTCATATACTATTTTATTTGCAACAGAAAAATCTGCACTATCAGGGTTTAACTTATGTGAAAATTGGCACAAACTTCTCCAGTAGAAAAATATTACTTTGGCTAACAAAAAAAATATCTAACAGTTGGTGGGCTGTCCAGATTTCTTAAGACATCAATAGAGCTAAATAAACATGTTAAATCTCTAGATAAATAATATTTTTGAGTGTAATCATAGCAAGTACAGAATTTAGTGCCTGAAAAAAATGTGATTTAAAAGTAAGCAATATTTTGAGTTGGTAAAAATTATCACAAAATGTGATGTCTATTAACAAAATAGCTGCGATAGTGGTATGGATCAAAACAACGTTCCATTTAATTAGAAAGCAAATGATCGAGATTCTTATCTTCTAATTCAGTTTTGTTCTTTCAGGGCAGTTGAACAAGTTTCCAAACAACATTTCAATGTTTAAAGAATGCCTATTCTTGTAAATAAAGATACTTTATATATACTTGATTGACACTTTGCTTTGTAATTATTTATTTTTTAATTGCAGATATCTTTGAAATAAAATCATAAGAAGTCAACAAGATTAATCAAAGGAAATTTCCACAGGTATTTTGGAATTGACAAACCTCACTCTGCTGATTATCTGATGGAAAGTTCACAAGCCAAGGACTACCTGATATACTTATTTTCTTTTTTGATTATAATAAACATGTGTCATGTGGAATTGATAGTCCTTTCCAGTTATGCAGATTAAACAATGCTTGGATTCACTTCACATCCTGTAGCAACAATGGAAATGAACACACCCAACTCTGACTCATTGTCTTACAATCCATGATTGTTCTGTGTTAACTTGCTCTCTTGACTCCAATTGGATAGGATTAGGACACTTCTAATTTATTTAATTGCTTTCATTTTCTTTTCCTCAGTTACATTGCAGAAACCTAACTTTTGCAAGCAGGCCGATATATATTTACAACTTTTTAATTCCTGCAAATATTGAGTTTTGGGGTTTTTTTCCAGAACATTTTTATCTTTCCCCAAGAAAAGATGGCTTTGGGCAATTTTCAGCACTCCCGTGGCTAAAATTTGCAAAATTGTTCTTAAAAAAATAAATAACAAAAAATTAGAAATAGTTCCCACTGCTGAGACAACTGGGTTTATTCTTTTTCTTTCTGAACCATTTGTAGTTCACAAACTTGGTCAAAATATGGATCCATATCAGAATGCAGGACCTGTGGGAAATAATTTAATGTGAGTGGAGGAAACTATGTTTAGAATTGTCTCCCTCTTTACATTCAAGCATCTACAGTAAGTGAAATAGATCCACTTGGACTAAGACTGATGGCTAACAGTTTTGGCAATCCAGGTTAAGTAATCCAGTGTATTTTAGATTATTCTGAACAATAGTTCCCAGAAACTTAAGCAACACAGCAGATGGCAAAAATTTGTGGGAGTTAAAAAAATCTGGAGGACACCAGGGTGCTTATTTCTGCCTGCAGCAACAAAAGTGTCAACAGAGTATTAAGACAGGAAGAGCCGAGCCTAAAGGAATAGATTTTCTTTCTATTTCAAAGGAACAGATGGGGAAACAAATTACAATGAACAGGAATTAAAAGTAGTTGATTAATGTGAAAAGCACGGTGTCTACTTTTTTTGTGGCAAAAAAAATCAAATCCCTTAAGTAGAAAGCTTTCTAATGTAAATTAAGTCTTACAAAAACTAAATTCAATTTTATTTTAGACTCTAAATAGATTCTGCTTAGTATTAATCCACAAGCCATAGTGTTGGACTTCCTTGACGCCATGTAAATTAATATTTACACAAAGATGAAGCAAATAACTTATTTAACATTGTATTTCCAGAGGTCAACAATGTATGAATCAGTTTTTAAAGTGCAAAAAAAAAAAAACCTCTCCTCAAAAAGCAACGTCTTTCATGCCTGACACATTTCTAAAAGACTGCTCGTTATTGTTTTGCAAATATTTCAGTGTTTAATTTCTCCATAAAATCTCCACAATCATTATTTATTTTACAGGATAATCAGTACTAATTATTTTTAACTGTATAACTATATAACTATATTTTCAATCAAGGCCACTGCATTTTGAATAATTTATTTGAGACAAATGATTAAAAATTAGCCATAATAATAATCATGTGTGGAAGTAATCACAGCAATAATTCCTTGTTCAAAATTGACAGAAAGCATCTGTAAGACACATGTACTATGTAGTTTGTTTGAAAATTAAAAATTCAAATGGTAGTTCTCTTTTTTTTTTAAAAAAAAGTTTTTTATTTTTATTTTTTATCAACATATTCAAATGTACATTTTTTTATTCATCCGTAATCATTATTCAATCCTCTTATTCTCTGGTAGTTCTCAAAAGGTTGAGTTTTGGTTGTATACCCTGGACAAAATATAAGTCACTAACAAAACAAAGAATTTCCAACTACAGTTTTCATCAGTAGATTCTAAAATTAATTGCTTTTGCTGCATTTTTGCAGTAAAGTTTGAATCAAATCAAAATATGTTTTCAGTGAATGTATATATGAAAACATGAAAAACAAAATCAGATACATCTACATTTATTCTTATGTTTGCAAGTTCAGCACCAATCAAGCTTCAAGAAGATGGCCATGAAATAGATCTTTCAGCTAGATTTACTATATTACACAAATACAAAAGGCAGAAATTCATGAAAAATATTATCAACTAAAGCACCACAAAGGATATTTATTTTGCATGTCGGCATCTATCAAGTTAATCTAGCAACCAAAAAATTGTGATTCAAGAAAGCAATCTTTGAAACAAGCAAAAAAGAAATACTTTTGAATAGCATTTTATCACAGACACAAAACGAACCATATATTTCAACAAACCATATATTTCAAGATAGGATAAATATCAAATCATACATTTTCAACAAATGAGATTAGAATCAAGTAATTTCACTATATAATTAAAAGACCAGTTAGAAGTCTATCAAGATAGTCCACAGAGGGATATACTAAGATTTTTCTATAGCTGCTTTTATCTATTGCACTGACAAATTGCTTGCTTAGAGATTTGTTTGTTTCCTGCTCCTTATATTATAGTATGGAAGTACATCCTCTTCCTCAATTTGAACCAAGGTGTATTAGAGCAGAATTTCTCCCCAAGAATTTGACATGAAGATGTTTCCAAGCAACTTCTCTAGTCATTTCCAGTTTGGCTTAATGGTTAAGGCATTAGGCCAGAAACCAAGACATTGAGTTATCTAGTCCTATCTTGGGCATCAAAGCTAATTAGGTGATTTTGGGCCTGTCATTTTCTCTCAGCCCAATTCATCTCATAGGGTTGCTGTTGTGAGAAAAACAGGAAGAGGAAGATTTATTAAAGATGTTCTTTGCCTTGAGTTATTTTTAAAAATAATAAATATAAATACATATTCCATTATTATTTTTCAATCAGCAAGCTTGGATTAAATGTTTTTGTACTGTTCTCTAAGATCTCAAACTCTGGAACAAACCATACAATAATCCTAAACATATTTTTACCACAATCATCATGTTTTTTTTTAAAGTCATCAGGCAAACTGCTGCTTTGTTGAGTCTGTCTAAACTCTTGGTTGGATCTCGACTTACATGAGAGAACAAAAAGGGAATTTATCAAATTTGTGGATCATACTAAGCTGACAGGAATAGTCAATACCTTAAATGATAGGCTAAAGATCCAGATGGATCTTGACAGACTTGAACCCTCAGCCCTATCTAACAAAATGAAATTCAATGTATCAAAAAGTAAAGTCTTACATTTAGGCAAGAAAAAACAAAAAGTACACATATAGACTGGGGTTAATAGCAGTAACTCTGAGAGGAATCTTTGAGTCTTAGTGGACAACCAATTAAATATGAGTCAACAGTGTGCGGGGGCAGCCAAAAAAGCCAATGCAATCCTAAATTGCACTAACAGAGGGATTCAATCAAGATCAGGTGAGGTACTGATTCCAGTCTATAAAGCCTTAGTAAGACCACAACTAGAATACTGCATCCAGTTTTTGTCACCACACTAAAAAAAGATGTTGAGACTCTAGAAAGGGTGCAAAGAAGAACAAAAAAGATAATTAGGGGACTGGATACAGGAATTGGGCATAGCTAGTTTAGTGAACAGAAGGACCAGGGGAGACATGATAGCAGTGTTCCAATATTTGAGGGGTGGTCACAGGGAACAGGGTGGTCAAACTGTTTCCCAAAGCATCTGAAGGCCAGACAAGGAATAATAGATGGAAACTGATCAAGAAGAGATTCAATCTAAAAAAATAAATAAATTCTGACAGCGAGAGCAAACAACCAATGGAACTAATGCCTTCAGAAGTTGTGGGAGCTTCATCACTGGAAGTTTTCAAAAGAGACTGGACTGCCATCTGTCAGAAATGTTGTAGGGTCTCCTGCTTGGACGGTGGGGAGGGTTTGGACTAAATGACCTACATTGTCCCTTCCAACCCTGTTAACCTAAACTGAGTTGCTTAAAGCTTTTGCCTCTACAAATCACCAACTCTTCATTTGCACCATTGTAGAAAATCAAGACAGTTGAAGTACAGAGCATATTTTATCTGTTAAAATGCATCAGCATTGCTTTGTATGAATTTAAAACAGATCTGATTGAAGTACTGTAAGTTTAGAATGATTCTTGACCCTTTACCATACTATTGTTAGCAATGAAATAAAGTTGGCAGAGACATATTTTTGACGCTACATGTACCATTTCAATAATTCTGATTCAAGATTGTAAAATTTATACTCCAGTCAATTAAGAAATAAATATATGCTGCAGAATCAATTATTATCCTGTTGATAATATTGGTTTTATTTTGAATTAGTAGTCAAAGCACTTCATACATTATTTCAGAAATCAAACAGCCCTATAAGATAGCCTAACAAGATTATTTCTATTCTGCAAATACAAAAATTATACAGTCTTTGCTTCTAAGTCCATTTGTACAAAATTATTAACTTTAATTTATCATTTATTTTGTTAACCACTATATCTCATTTTTATATTCTAATGTTGATATTTAGAAAAATATGACTTTCTTCTTTTTTTATTTTTCTTCCCTTGAAAAGTTTAACCACAGTCTTGTTCTTTCTAATTGGCATCCTATGATGGTGCTTGGCGCGTATGAAAGTAACAATTGTACGCACTGGTATGAAGAACTCAGATAATTATTGAACAGAAATAGAAAAACAAGCCCAAAAGATCCTCTGTCTATGCAGTCATTCACCATATTAATTTGCTTTTAATAATTTGCATGACCTTCTCAGTATTGATTATATCAGTATATAATCATATCATATACTTCTCAGTATATGATTGTCTATTCAACCTCAAAGACTTTTTGCATGAATATACACAGAAAAATATAAAACTGCTTAATGCTCATCTAACATCAGTCAAACTTATTTAGTGTGTGTATATGTGTGTATGTGTGTGTGTGTGTATTAATTATATGAAAACATGCAGTTGAGGATCATAAATGCAACTGGAGTGTGTTCATGCATACATAAGGGTATTAGGATACAAATTATTCCATATGAATACTAAGAGACAACTAACTACTAAAATGGGCTTTAAGTTGGTTTCTTAAGATAGCACCATCTTAAATTAGTATTAATGTTTTCTGAAAATAACATATAGAAAATAAACGATGTATTAACATTTTAAAAGACATTTAAGCTCTTTCAGTCCTTACTACCAAGACCATAGAACTATAAATATGCAATCTAAATGTTTACCATTTATTGCTGAACACAAGTGGTACAGTGGTCAAGATGTTGGCATAAAAATCATCTAGTTTTCCTTCAGACATAAAAGTCAGGCTGGTAGCTTTGGGCCAATCAGCCTCTCAGTCCTACCCACTTTACAGAATTGTTGTGGAGATTGTAGTAGGCAGGAATATTATATATTCCCTCAATTTGTTACAAAATAAAGGCTGGATAAAAATATGATAGTAAATAAGCTGTCTTTGCATAAAAAAGGGATTACCTAAAATACCGTAAGCCTTCCTAAGTAAACCAGACAGTAAAAATATTGACATGAGCCAATTCTACTTTACTGTAAGGCTACATTAACAGTGTTGCAACTTTGAAAGTACAAATATCCCACCACCTTCTTAACAGCCTGTTAAGGAGAGAAAGAAAGCCTCTGAGTCTCTTTCTGCCTATTACGCAGCTGTAGTTTATCTTACCATTTCCTAGGCAGCATTTTTTTCATCCCATCTCCTGAGGTCTTTCTCACATGCCAGTACAGATATAAGTTATCTGTTCACAATATTTGACAATGCAAAGTGTTGGTTACATTACTCACAGATGATGCATTCATGTGCAGTGTCAAACCCACAACCATGAAAAACAAACCATAACAGCTGGGCTGATGCAATTTGCTAGGCCAAAATCAATAAAAAAAACCTTAAGTGTGGTGGAATGTGTAAATCTTGTTTACAGTTACTTGGATTAGTCTTTTATTAGTCTTTTATTTTCAGCTTGGGAAATTTATAGTCAGCTCATGAAATGAATAAACCCATAATAGTGGCAATACTTCTATTTCTCCTAAAAGAGGCAGAATTTCATTTGGAGATGATGTAATTGTGTTTAATCCTATCTGTAGTTATTAGGATATAATAACTTATTTCATAAATGTAATTTGAAATACTTTGTTTTATTTTGCCCATACAATTGATTTTACTATTGTTTTTCACCAAATTCAATTTAGTCTTCTCCAATTTCTAAAATTCTCAACAGGGTTTAGATATTATGGACACTGAAATCCAGGATATCTGAGGGAAAACATTTTGGGAAAGCTGATCTATCTCCATTATATGTTAAAATGAAATCAATTGTAGGGGCTACATAAAGCAAAAAAAGGTTGTAACAATACTTATATTTTTCACATGGACTTTTCCTGTTTTTCCTACCTACACAAAACAGCAAAACTATGAGCATACAACTATACAGTATTTCTCTAAAATAACAGCGATACACATTTTAATAAATACCGTATTTTTTGGAGTATAAGATGTACTTCCCTCTCCCTAAAAGAGGCTGAAAATTTGGTGCATCTTTTTCACATGGACTTTTCCTGTTTTTCTTACCTACACAAAACAGCAAAACTATGAGCATACAATTATACAGTATTTCTCTAAAATAACAGCGATACACATTTTAATAAATACTGTATTTTTTGGAGTATAAGATGTACTTCTCCCTCCCTAAAAGAGGCTGAAAATTTGGTGCATCTTGTACTCTGAATGTACTCCCACCCACTCCCTGGCCCACACCCTTCAGCCTCCGCACGTCCTCCTCCTTGCTGCAGAGATTGCCACCGACAATGGCTTAGCCATTTTGGGCACCGTGCGTCGCATTTTCAGCCTCTAGATGCTCCATTTGAGAGCCCTTCTAGGCTGCGTGGATTACCAAAGCACATTGCTGCCAATCGCCACTGGAAAATGCGATGCGTTTGGGCATCATGCTGAAAACCCGATGCATGATGCCCAAAATGGCTATCAGGAACAGCTCCTGCCTTCTCTTACCCCTTCCGCACTTCACCTGCTTTAGTCACTGGAGCTCCCTCCGACGATCAGCTGTGCTTTTGAAGCTGTTTTTTAGCCTCAATGAGGGGCTTGTGAGTGAAGCGATATACTGCACTTAGCCTGCTGTTCTCATTGCTGCTACCTCCGACAATCAGCTTTGTTTTAGAAGCTGTATTTCAGTCCCAACCCATGTGTGCACAAAATCAGCGAACTAATGTGCTGAAGCTGAACAGGCTAAGAACGCTAGGCAGATAAATACCTGGTAGGCAGAAATTTTTTTTATCCTATTTTCCTCCCCAAAAACTAAGTTGCATTTTATACTCTGGTGTATCTTATACTCCGAAAAATACGGTAACTTTTCATAGAGTCCTTTAGAGTTCAACAGAACCAGACTTAAAATAATTCTCGGTTTACCAGCTCATTGTCATTTAAATTTGATTATCTTCTTAGAAGTATTTTATTTAGCCTATTTCATACCCTCCTCTCTGCTCAAGGCACTTGAAGCAATGTGCAACTGAATCCTCTATATTTATTATAAATATATTTTATTTAAAATATTTGTATTTCATGCTAAATATATTAGTGACAAACCCTAGTTTTTAATTGTTAAAAACATCTGTACTTTCAAACACGAATAACAAAAAATATTATTTTTTCATGCTACTAGAAGCTGACCAACAAATGCAGGATTTCGTTCTCTTATTAATACAGTAATAAGTGCAGCTGCTGAATCCATGGTCTCTTGAAGCTTTAGACTCTCCTGAAAGAAAAGGAAAAGTTATTCAAGAGTGAAATACATTTCTAGAGTTTAAATATAAAAATTGCTGCACAACAACAATATTTGAAAGCAAATCCCTAGTTCAGTATTTCAGATCTGCATTTTGAATGTTCTTAGATTGACATAGACAGAATTGTTTCTGAAATCCAAATTCTGTTTGCAACCTACAACTACATTTTTTCTAATTATTCGAGCCTAGATTTTCTCATTTGTAGTGAATAAACTTATATACAATAAATTATCAGATATATCAGAATAGGAAGCATGCCATAAATAATTTGTTCTTAATATGTTAAATATTGCACAGAATCATCCAGCAGCTGTTTCTTTCTACAATTATTGCTGGCATTTTATATTCCAGCTTATAAATATGAAATATTGTTACTCATTACCCAAAACTTGAACAAGGAAGGAAGGATCTAGTAATTACAATCTCTCTTTCTATGTTCAATAACTGGATGTTATTGAACTATTCATCAATCATTGATATTAATATTAATCAAGCTATTAATACAGGTCAGGAATTAATTAAATATCCCTGAACTGTATTACCAGTAATAGTTATTATTTAAATTAATGTTTTCTTACATGTATATAGCAAATACTATAACATCTATTATAAACTGCAAATGAAATCTGAAAAAAGAATTGGAATCCTGCTAATAACATTAGTATAAATTCACATTACAAAGTTTGAATCTGCAAAAATAACTATCCATCCATCCATATCCAGCCCACACGCTACCTGGCACACATACCCATAGTATTTGTGACCCAGACATCCCCTTGCTTCCTCACCCTGCTAGCAGCAGCCATTTACTTACCTGCTGGCCTTGGATTTGCACTACTGTTGGTTTCCTGGCTTCCCATAAGTAAAATAAATTGGGAAGCCAGCAGGAATTTGAGAAGAGAGGGAGGGAGGGAGGGAGGGAGGGAGGGAGGGAGGGAGGAAGGAAGGAAGGAAGGAAGGAAGGAAGGAAGGAAGGAAGGAAGGAAGGAAGGGAGGAAGGAAGGGAGGGAGGAAGGATTTTTTCTGATGCTCTCTGGCAGCTTCCCACAAGGAATCTTAATGGGAAAGCCAGCGGATAGCTCCCATTGCTATTTTTTTGCTCGCCCATGGTCATTCTATGTCTCTGTTTAGATAAGCAAACATCTCTGAAATAATGACCTAATGGGACATGGATTATTTAGTGCTATATAGGAACTAAACATTGTATTAAAAATCATATCATTTTCACCATCCATTGTTATATTTAGATTTCATTGGGAACTACACTGGTGGTTTTTTATTAAAATGTGGCAACATATATTTAAATATATCTAATATTTCTCACCTACATGCCCACAATGATTCTCCCCAAGCTGAATATATTTAAATTTCATAGTTTAAACTTATATTATCACAGAACATTCATTCATCTGTCTTTAGGAACAATATCAATTCTAAATAGAAACATACACTGATTAAATGAAGTCATCTTACTAGAACTACTAATCCATAATCTATGCATCATGGCTTCTCAGCTAAATTGCAGATCTGCCTGTTAGTTGGTTCAAATTAATTTTCAAAAGGAGGACAGCAGGATTTGTTTTGTTAAATCACAAAATAATAATTATAATTATAAGATCTTCAAGTTTTTATTTTACTTATGAAATGCAGCTATTGCTCTTTGTAAATTTGAGCAAACCAAAGCCCAAAGAAATATCAATTAAATTTACAATTTTAAACCAAAGTTATTTCAGTGGTTGAATATGGTGTCTGAGTTTAAGATTAATGCATTTTAAAATTCAGTAGGAAGACAAAATTGACTTCGATTTAATTTAATGATACTTAAAATAGAGCTACAAGAATCTCTGGAACTTAAATAAACTTAAGTTCTATTTATTTTAAAAGATTCACTTCAATTACAATTAAACTAATTTAATTTCTTAGTAAAAATCCAAAGAAAAATATTTAGGATCTTCAAGTTATAAGCACTCAAGTAATAAACTGAATTACTAAAGTTGAAAAATTATGCTCATATCCCTGAAAGTAAAACTTATTAAATCAGAGGAAACATATACGACTGCACTAAAATGCAATTTATTTCCGTCCATCTAAATGCTGCATCAGATACTGAAATATATGGAACAATGTAAGCTCTACATTTTCTATACCATAGGCTATTACCCTCTGCTGGCTTGAAAAAAAATGTGCATGGAAGCATTATTTCAAAAAGAATCTTTTTACAATTTAAAGATTGAAGTACACATATTATCAGACCCTAACCTTTTTTTCTACAAACCTTGGAATATCTGGTGGAATTCAGTGGCAAGAATCTCAAATTTCAAAAGCACTATTTTTCATGGATTTGTTAAAAATTTACTATTTAAGCCTTTCATTGGAAACATGAGGATGAACTATTACACTTAAGGTATGCTAGAAATGTGATTTCACATTATAATCCTTATAAGCCATAGAAATTATTTTTTCCTGAACACCTAAATAATATTTATTTTCTGAACAGTATTAATAATTCTAAAAAAAACCCCAACAGGTGAACAAATAAAATCACCTCTTTTTAAAAACTTCCTAGTGCTATCCAGAAAGAAAAGATGCCTCTTTTAATCACACTATGTAATGTATAAAGTGTAGATAGCAATGTTGCATATATGGTGACAGAAGTGGGATAACATCTTTCTTTGCTTTTTGACAGCAACTACCTTTGGAATATTTTGCATTTTTCATTAGGTGACAGCTTGAACTTCAAGATATATCAGAAGCAACCTGATTTAAGAACAATTAGGAATGCAAAGGCATGAAGTATGTATGGATGTTTGTGGGAAGAACCATTAATAGAAGAAGCAGGAAACAGAAAATAATTTTTGCTTTTAATATTATGTACTGACAAATCTTGTTTATATTTATATTACTATTCAGCATTGCCAAAATCTTAAGAGTATTAGTTTCAATGAATAAACAAAAGGAAATTATACTAAACAAACTAAAAAAAACCCTTTAAAACAAAGGCAAGAAAGGATTAATGACAAGATACTTTTTATTGAACTGTGATATTTCTGCCATATAAACATGCTAGCTCTCTGAATTAAATAATGGGATGCTTAGGGAATTTTTCTTCAAAATTGCTAATTATTCAATTCTTTAGCAGAGATCTTATTCCTAAGCAAAATAGCTATTCAACTATAACTTCCTGCTTCTCTACACTGTTCTTCCAACTGTAAAATATAACAAAAGCATTCCCCAAATTTATCTTGTTATATCCATTAATTTATTTCTTTGCTCTGTTCATGACTAGTGATTTTAATTGCAATTTTCAAAATTCTTCTAGTCTTACAACCTGCTCAAGCAGGATACCTATACCATTTCAGACAAATTGCTGTCCAGTCTCTTCTATCAGTAGTTGTTCTTGTTATATTTGGCAGGCACAAAATATATCATATCTTTGGAGAAGGTATGTTGGCCATAACATACATAATACATATATTTTCACAGAATACTACATTGGCTTTAATTTGCATTGCATATTACATCATTGCATCTGCCTCTATCAGTATGTAGATATGTCTGTATTAATATTATATTTACTCTAGAATAAAATTCTATTTGGGAAAAAGGAAATAAAGATCATTCTTGTATACAGGTATAAGCAGTCATAAAATTAGAGATAATGGCTGCAGTCACAGTTTTGTACACTGAGGAAATTAATGGCATTCATTGGTATTTATTTCTTGGGAAGGTTGCCTAGAATTTATATGAACTTCAAACTTCTATTGGGAATTTGTCATTTCTGGAAAAGAAGGTGGCTACTATTTATATATCAAGTATAATATTTAAATACATTTTACTTTATTCTTGTTCACTGAAAAATGCTTTGAACATCTGCATTGTCAGGATGCATGCATGAGCAGGTAAATGAATGTCTTATGTCAATATAAAATGTTAGAACTTGGGCAGTAAATTTATAATTATAAATTAGGACAAAATGAAGATCTATTACCTGTTACTGTAATTATATTAATAAAATCACTGTTGACTGATGAAGACATGTGATATTTATGCTTGAGGGTTTGTAAAGGAAAACTTACTGACGGTCAAAATATTTGAGCAATTGCATTTTGGTCGAGATTTTTACCAGAAAGATAGTATAATTCCACCCACCCACCCCAAAATTCTAATTATATAACTTTTATCATTCTTGTACATGACTCAGCAATGCACTGTCATCTCACTTACTGACTTACTTGCTCATAATTATACTTTATCAAAGATAGCTATGAAATAGTATACATTTTATACAGTTCAAGGCAGGTAAACCATTTTTCAATTAAGTTAATCAAACTAATTACAGTAAGGAGACACTTTATTTTTCAATAACCACAAATCACAGCCAGACCTATAAACTATGTAGGTTTATTTTTCACAAGATTGATGGTCCCTGACATACCACACCAATCACATGTATTCTACATGTACGCTTTACTTGTAATATAATTACACAAGGATTCTTGTTTTTGAATGATTCCAGGCAGGGATGAAATCCAGCAGGTTCTAACAGGTTCTGGAGAACTGGTAGCAGAAATTTTGAGTAGTTTGGAGTAGTTTCCACTCTGGCTGGCCGCAGAGTGGGAAGGGAATGGAAATTTTGCAATATCCTTCCGCCAGGAGTGGGGAGGGAGTGGGGATTTTGCAATATACTTCCCCCTGGAGTGGGGAGGGAATGGGGATTTTGCAGTATCCTTCTCCTGGAGTGGGGTGGGAATGGGGATTTTGCAATATCCTTCTCCTTGGAGTGGGGAGTGAATGGGGTTTTTGCAGTATCCTTCCCCTGCCATGCCCACCAAGCCACGCCCACAGAACTGGTAGTAAAAAAATTTGGATTTCACCACTGATTCCAGGCTGTTTTATGTTTAGAGTAATCCTCCTTCTAATTGCAATATGCAATGATAACTTTGAATATTACAGGTCTGGTTGTGAGATGGTACAAGACTGGATTTTTTATTATGAAAACTATAAAACATCTCTTAATACTCTCAAAATTGTTGGATCTCTATTTTCTTATTAACATTAAACTTATGTACAGTGTTCTATGCTATCTACTATATATTACTCTATATTATCCAAGATTTCTTTCTTTTTTTATTCTATATCCATGTATCTGAAGTTTGGAAGTCCTTTTGTACAAGTCTGTACTCTATAGAAATCACTGTCTATAGTTCCACATATTATAGCTTTTTTTCTCTCCCATTTTGTTTTTACTTCGTCATTAATGTCTTAATGTCCCATTATCCAAAAGTTTCTTATATGGCCAGATTTGGTTGTGAATTGAAGTCACTCACTTTTTGCTACAAGTCACCTATCAAGAAAGACAAGTTCCTGGGATCTTCTATGGGTACATGTAGGCCTTTCCTATCAGAATTCAGGACTTTGGAACTGAAAGATTCTTAGTCCCTCTGGGTTCTGACAAGTTGCTAGCCTCCTAACTATCCTGCCACACTCCCTGCTATTGATTTCCTGCTGTATCACTGAAAATATTGTGATAGCTAATATGACTGTTACTAAAGCCAAGCTTCCTGGTCACCTGAGACCCCTACTACCAGGCTTTCCAAGGTCTCTACTTGTTAAATGTTTTCACCATCACTCATCACACTTTCACCTCCTGCTTCTTCTAATTCTGCGTTGCCTGCTTCTCTCCTATAATATGTCTAGGACTTCAATATTTCTTATTCTTTTCTTCCTTTTTTATTTGTAAGAATGGCCACCTCAATCACAGGCAGAGAAAAGCTTAAGCTTCAAGCTGGTAGGAAGTATGGGTAAAGTTCTTTTTTTTTTTTTTATTTGATTTATATGCCGCTCTTCTCTGGAGACTCAGGGCGGCTTACAGTACGCTAAGCAATAGCCTTCATACTTTTGTATATTTATACAAAGACAGTTTATTGCCCCCACAAACTGGGTCCTCAATTTACCTACCTTAGAAAGGATGGAAGGCTGAGTCAACCTTGAGCCTGGCGAGATTCGATCTTACTTTAATTGCAGACAGCTGGTGTTAAATTACAATGCTTCTGTCTGTTGAGCTAAAGCAGGCTCTTCTGGGCACATTTCCAAAATATGCCTATGGCACCTGTTCTCTCCCAACACATGCGCGCACACACACACACATATACGCTCCCTAGCACCAACTCACAGCTCTCTTCTGTCAGATTGCTTGCCAGGAACTTCAAACTTTTTATACACTGCCTTTATGTGATGCCCACTTAATGACCCACATGGACTTGGGTTTATGATGGTAACCACTGCCAGGATTGCTATTGCTAAGTGATGTGGTCATGGGATTTCTTGCTTTACAATTGCATTGTTTAGCAATGGAAATTCCAGTCCCAACTCCTGTCATAACCCGAAGACTACTTGCATGTTACAAAAAACTGATACAGATTTTTTCCCTACTCATTTTAACACATACCTTTTTATACTGTATAAAGAGACCATAAAGTAAAATATTTTTCTTTTTAACTTCCTTTGCAAGTATAGTTAAACTTTCAATTCCACTGTTAAAAGGTGTATTTTCTAAAGTACCCATGTTTACCTGCAAAGGAAAGATACATTCAAATTATTAATTATCAGAAATGTTTAATTTTCTATAGATACATGGGGAAAGATGATGATTGCTATCTAACAGTTGACCAAATATTTTTTCTCTGAAATCTCATGTACATTTTGCTTGCAATTGTTAGCATGCTAACCAGGAAATAAATACAAAGATTAGTCTATTTCTAAACAAACATGCATGACTGAATCCCATATCTTATCATATCAGTTCTTTTATATTTTGTTCATCTGCATTTTAAACCATTGCTTTTTGTATGGAATAAGAAATCAAATAAAATATCCAACAAAATGAAAACTTTCTTCTGGAAGAGCAATAAATTAAAAAACCAAATAACTAGTTGAATAATTTTGGTTTCCTTTTCATAAGCTCTCTTACTTGTTACCACAATAATTCTGTAATAATAATTAATGTATTGCACCAGACTATTCAAATATTTTATAAGCTGAAGAAAGAAACATTTTAACCTACCAAAATGAGAACAACAGGGTACAGAACCGAAGCACCTGTGTTTTCAAGTTTGTTTACCAGCAGTGAGACTTCCTCAAAGCCAGGCAGTTTATTCTAACAAAAAAGGAAATAAGATTCATTTTAGAAACCTGAGATAAATTATGCTCCTTTTCTTTTAGAAATATGACATATGCTAAAATCAGATCATGTACATACCTATACTGAATTTAAGGTACTATTAAGATTTAAATTTCTCTTTTTCCAAGCAATTTTGGTACTCTTTTGTACCCCTCCATATATCACTATATTATAAATTATTATACTATTTAAAAATTATTATGCACTTGTTTTCCCTTTCTCTGTGCCATTCAGAGCCATAGAACCAGAACAGCTGGAAAGAAACATAAAATGCAATCTTCTTAAGGTCATTTGCATGGTCAAAAAAATAAAACATTCATAGTAGAATCATGGGTCTGGATGAAATATCTTCAGCATCATAAAACACTACCTGCACAGGATATAATAGTCTTTCTAAGAGCAATTTGTTCAGAAAGTTATTTTAAAAGCTATAAATAATTTGTATCATAATAAATTTGTCCAGATAAGCCAAGTGCAAACTTATCTAAAAAAAAAAAGAAGAAGAAGCTAAAATTGCTAACAAATTTGATATCTTCCCATAAGTGGTGAATTACTTACACCCTCTGAATCTGAAAGCATATATTTTGAAAACTTTATATCTAACTCAGTGCTGGGTTTCAAAATTTTTTACTACCAGTTCTGTGGGTGTGGCTTGGGGGACATGGCATGGCTTGGTGGGCGTGGCTTAGTGGGCATGGCAGGAAGGATACTGTAAGATCTCCATTCCTTCCCCACTCCAGGGGGAGGTTACTGCAAAATCCCCATTTCCTCCTGATCAGCTGGGACTTGCGAGGTAGAGAATAGATTGGGGCAGGGCCGGTCAGAATTTTTACTACCGGTTATCCTAACTACTCAAAATTTCCGCTAATGGTTCTCCAGAACTGATCAGAACCTGCAGAAACCCACCTCTGATCTAACTGCTACTGTTGTGCAAAACATTCTGAATTCAGAATACATATTTCCAGTGCCCAATGACTGTTGCTAGTGCAAAAGCAGTTTTTCTAATAGCTTGGAAGTGTTTCAAGCTCATAATAGCCTTGTTTCAAGTTTGAAAAAAAATCAGCTCAAAATATTTCCAAAATGATCAACAGAGCTGATTTTACTCTAAAATGCATCGTATCAAATTTAAGCTGTATTTTTCCACATTTCTCTAAATGTGACAATTTGGTTAACATATATGGTAGTACAAATTTATAAGAAACATTTAAGTAATACTATGTGGCTAAAATATTGTTTTTAAAATTACGTAAATCGTCTTCCCCCATAAACTATTATTTACTTTCTGTAATACTTACTTTTATGCAAATAAAGTTGTAGTACTGTCCTAACAAAATATTTTGTAGATTGTCATTTTTTTGAAGGAGGATTGCTACATTTTTAACATGCTGAAAAAAGAAATAGAAATTATTTTAAAAGTTCATTACTAAAACTTGTTAATAATGAATTGCTAAAACTGCATGTGACACCTGACATACAAATCGTTCACTGAAGAATCCAGGGTATTATTTGCATGATTTATAAGTAATAATTAATACTTCATTATTCAAAGGAAAAAGAAAAATAAAGTACTACACTGCAGAAGAGAAAAAGCATTTTGCACACTGTTTTCTGACCATCATTTATTTCTTTATTAAACAAATGTATATAATCACCCAAAAGGAATGTAAGAAATATTACAGAAAACTTGTGATATTTTAACTGTGATAAAACCTAATAGAGGAGGTGATATATTAAACATGTTGAACACAAAGTGTTCTTGACCAACAGCAACTTTTATATATTGTCTTTAAATGTTGCTGAGAATACTCACTTTCACATGATTCTTCATTTTTTCATTAAGGAGAAATCCCACTTGTATCGCATCTTCCTTTATGTCAGTAATAATGCAAACTTCCTGTGATATAGTGTCTGGCAAAGACAATTTAAAAGAAAAAAGAAGAAGAACAAAAAGAATGGGGAGATTAATTTTCTTTACTATTACCTCATTTCCAGGATCCTTTAGTCTCCCTATATAAAATCACAGTGTATATAGAAAACAGAATGTTGTTTATGACAACCATTAATATTAATGACATTTCCAAGCTTAAAATCTTGGCTAATCTTCTGAATTTTTATAAGGAGAATATATTATGAATTGTTCATGATAAATTGTACAAAATAGTTCCAGGAGTCAAAATAATATCTGTTCTGGGCATTACTGTTTTGTCTTTCATTCATAAAACTGGTTGCTACTCATGGATATTCACAAGACAGCTTTGTATTTTACTAAATTCAATTGGTTATTCACTTCCACCACATTAGAGAGATTTTATAAGGTACTTTGTAATGGACTTTTTTTAAAAAAAACTGTTCTTTATAAGATATAAATGAGTTAAAAGGGTACAATAAAGTTGTTGGTTTTTCTTTTGTGTGCTTCCAGTTGTAGATAAAAACAAGGGATTGAGTTGCTTTATTCAACACACAATGTTATACTTATTCAATCATTCAACTACAATTTGTTTTTAAGTTTCTGTACATAGAAATTCTTCTGGCTGTCCAATAATTATCCTGAATTATGCTATGTGTGAAGAATAACTACTAATAAAAAATCTTCCTACCACCCAAGGGTTTTAGCATCAAAATAACTGTTATACCTTTTATACATTTTGATAGGTACTTTATTAATTAAGGTGCTATCTGCACCTTTGGATAATCTTCTTCTAGATTATTGAGTTAAAACACAGTAACTGGAACTAGGGAGGGAGAGAACAACTACAGATAACATTAATGTAAAAGGAGCATTTTTATTTTAAGCATCATCATTTTACTTCATAGAAAAATGCTGAGGAGGTGACAAGTCGAAGCAGGACATACAAAGTTATGTAGTGCCTGCTGGCAATTCCCCTGTGAACATAAGACTTAGTGCTGAAACTGGAATTCAGGAGGTCATATCATCATAAGAATTTGATCAGAGTTCCAAAAATATTAATTCTTCTCCTAATTTTAAACATACATTTTTAGGGACTACCTTAAAGGCAGACTGAAATCTTCAAGCTTACATGTTGCAACTAGAGGTTCAAAGATATAGTTAGCCTTAGGCAAGAAATCCTTAAAGAGATTCTTTCAGGATGTTTTTATGCTATCCAGGTTCTAACTACTTTTATAAATGAGTCATCCTAACTGCAGGATGAGGTTTCCCTATTTGCAGACTAATAATATAAGAAAAAGGAGAGACATGCGCCACATTGTCTGCACATCCAGCAAGTTGCTACCTGCTTTATTTCAAGTGCAATAAGACTTATTTTTATTAAATCAGTATTCTATTATTTTCCTATCTACATTTTAAAAGAAATACAAAAACTAAAAAAATGCATAATTATTATTTGTGTGTGTGTGTGGAGTCCTTTCAGTTCTCTGAAATTGGTTGTTTGCTTGCAGATGTTTCATTATCCAACTCCCCAAATCATCATATATAAAACTGTTTGTTTTTCTTACCTACATCAGTGTTCAGTTTAATAGAATGGAATGTATTCTTTATCAACACTTTATCAACTTGAATTTTTCCTGAAGCATTTGAAACTTATTAACTATATTTGCATAGATAGGATTACATTTGTAATTCAAAGTATCAAATAGAGCTCAAATAATTAAAAATAAGTGATATATTAATTTGTTCTAAATTATTTTAGGCCATCTATCTCCAGTTGACTTGATCAATTACTTTAAAGATCAGTACGATAAATTATAAGCTATTATTTGAAATGTCTATAAAAATATCTATGCAAGCGTTCTGTTTAGTATTTAGTTGTAATATTTGTTTAACAAATATATATAGCCAACCATATACAGTAGAAATCTTAGGCAACAATAAAAAACATACACACAAAAACCCATTTGAAATAAGAAAACAACTCTTCCTAGAAACCACTTGCATCCATCTATCCATCCATCCATCCATCATCCATCCATCCATCCATCCATCCATCCATCCATCCATTCATCCATCCATCCACTATACCATTTATGGCCCATTTATAATTAAGCCAAATGAATGCTACAGTAAATATCTACATATTCCTCACTTTTTCTTGTTATATTCCAAAGTTTCAAAATAAATTGCAACTGGATTATTTTCCATAGCTATCACAACAGCCAATTATTTTTGCTTATGCAAAAGCATTAGATACATATTCTCCTTTTAATTTGTCTATGAAAGAAAACATTATCAATAATGTAATGATATATGTGAGATTAATCTGTTATCAATAAATATTCAGTTTGGATCCAGATTTAAGATGGTTCAATCAATAGATTCAATTTTTGGTTACTAAACATTTCACTGTTGAATGATGACCCTAATGTACTACGTAATTCTCTGGCAAATTCAAATCTGGATAATTTGATCCCAGAAACACACAGAATTTACCTCACTGACTACTCTTAAAGGAAATTAATTATGTATCATTCAATCATTTTCATATGAATAATTAATATATGTTTTTCAATAATATAGTTAATATTTAGTTCTATATACATATATAGAACTATATATAATATATAGTTCAAGTTAATGTAGAATTAATTTGAAATTGTAGAATATGTGATGAAAATGTCTGGTTGATTCAGTTTTTAAATTATTTTAAAATATTTAAATTTTTAATATTTAATTATTATTTTAGAAATATCTTAGATGGTACATGGGTCAGAAATCTGAAGCCAGCATAATTGTTTCATTTAATTTTTTGAATTTATACATAACAATTTCTCATAAATAGTTCAGTGCTTTCTTCATAATTTCTATTTGCTCTTATATGGGAAGAACTTAATCTACCAGCAATGAAATTTTTATTTATTTGTTTATTCGTTCACTAAATTTCTGAAATTAACATCAAATTTAATATTAACTGGTGATTGCCAATCTATTAAATAGTTACATTCACAGAGAAATATGACTAATAATAGAGAAATAATGAAAAGAAAAACCTACAATTCTGTTTTGTTCAAAAATTTAAAATGGCACCACTCCAAATGACAGCAAAATATTTGCTATTTGGGATATAAATAATTATAATAGTGTTTCTGCTCTTCACAAACGCAGCATATATACATGTACATATACATCATATTACTTATCAGCTATCAACACTAACTGACTACTAATTCCACTAATGTAACATATTAATCAAAATTTTAGACTTACCAAATATAATTATAGAAATATTTTATTCTAACTACTGTTCTTTTATATGCAGGAATTCCCACCTTATTTGTAAAGCAGTTTCAGGTAGAAGGACTGCAAGGTTACCAAAAAGAATTGGTGACTGTGTCCAACGCCTAGAAGATAATATGTAAATTGCAGAAAGAAGGAAAAACACATACCTTTGATTAAACAATCAGCTGCAAAAAGATCCCACTTGTAAGTTACCTAAAGGATAAATAAGATTTTCTAGAGAAATCAATATATTAATCTATAATTGCAAGCAGAACAGGGGTGAGCTCTACTTACCTTTACTACTGGTTCTCAATGGGGCCATGTACGTGCGCACGAGGTGAGCACACACATGGGCTCTTCTGCGCATGCGCAGAAGCATTTTGATGATGTCGGGGTCAGTGGGTGGAGCCTCCTGCCGGTTTTACTACTGGTTCTATAGAACTGGTGCGAACCGGGGGCAACCCACCACTGAAGCAGAACTATGTCCAAAAGCAACTGTTTACATTATATGTAAGCACCTCCAAGAATTTCTTAATCTTATTTTTCTAAAAGATTTAAGATAGATTTTGCAGCATTTAAAATCTATTGAACATTAATTTTGACACCTTGCAAGGAAGTATGTCTTTCATTTAACTATACTATTTATTATAATTTTCAATTAATAAAGTAATTATAATTCATTCAGTAACATATATATATCTGAAAATTATAATCAATGCACAATATTATCAAACCAAATATCTTTATTAGATTCTTTGATCAGTTTATGCAGTAAAAAAGGAATGTAATTTAACAAAACAATTTATTATCAGCAGGTAAAACCAATAAAGACAATAAAACAAGGTATCTAATTGTTCAACAGTATCACTTGGTAAAAAAGTATCTGGCACCTAGTATGTGACTCTTAAAATGTAACAAATTTATATTTAATTAGTATGATTTCAAATTTAGTGATAATGGGGAGATCATAACATGTCTTAGGACATCACCAAAAGGACACCTTTGAGACATAATTAAAAGCAAAATTAAAACAGAGCGAAAAATGAAGGAACATAATAAAAACAGAGTTAAAAAGGCAAGCTAAAAGGTGGAAGGAATGCCCTATATAGATGCTATGCCAATGAGATTTGGTTGCTATCTCACCAAAGCAGAGGCAGCAGGCCAGTACTGTTAAAGATTACGCTTGAGTTCTCAGATTAGAACAGAGGAGCAGACTTAGGTCTTAATACTTGACACATTAATTTCAAGCCTCAAGACTGCATTATTGGGTGCATTCTGGGCTATGGAACAAAATCCTAGGAAATTCAACTGAAGCTTCATAAGACCTTAGGTTTATATATAAGCCAAGATGTATCCCACACAACCCCAGTTCAATTGCTTTTGGAATATAATTTACCTATGGAATTTAGTTATTGCTTGTCTGCCCTGTTGGGGAGCTGAAGTGACATAATTTGCCTGTGCTGGTAATATCATCTACAAATGTTTAGGTATTCTAACAGTTCAACATTTTTTTTTCTTTAATAGAAAGGCAAATAAAATAAATTCAATAGAAATTTATAAAATAGGACAATTAATATACGGTAGTAGTGTCCGTGGACTGCTGGCTTCAAAAGTTCATGTTAGTAATTCTGTCAACATAATATTCAACCTAAACACCTTAACAAGAATGAAAAAGTACACCTGCCATTCTTGCTTTTTCCTCATGTCAGTCAAAACTGGCATGCACAGTGCATGATAAAGGGACAAGATAAGCACTTGATTATTTTCCTATTTTTGCCACCAAATGTTGATGCCGTTGCCAAAGCTACATGTTTTGTTGGACTGTCCCAATCATCATCAGAAAAAAAAAAGTCTGTAATTACTTCTCTACTGCAGCCACAGTAGCAATATTCAAGTAGTGAGACTAGGAGACGATTTAATTGCATAGATTAAAATATAAAGAAAACTTTTCTGCTGTTACCTCTCAAAACAGAAGGATAAAGATCCAACCCCATCCATTATGTGATATTTTGTGTTATTCTCTTGTACAGTGTTGTTCTATTAGCTTTTCTACCTACCATGTTTGGTATTACCAGAATATTTTCCACTCCCCTCTATGCTTTCTCTTTCAAGATGTTTAAATGTTACTACTGATGGTCTTCAACTGAAATATTTTATTAACCATAATTATTATTTATTAATCAATATAATTAATGTATTAAATTTAATAAGATGGCCAGATGTTTTTATTATAATTAGTACTATTAACACCTAGCCTTTAACACTCTGTAAAAAATTCCGTATCATGAGAAAATGTTTCACTATTAATAAGCAGCAATAACAATGCTCTTACCTTCCATAGGTCAGGCGGTCCTTCAATAAGTTTAGCATTTATTTTGCTATATTTTAGAGCTAGATGCAAACATTCTGTTCCATAATCCAGATCATAGTCACTACACTGTAGAAAACAAAAAGAACAAATTATAGAATATTTTAAAAATAAAATATGTCATTTAAAATATGGCATGGGATCTTCAAAGGATATACAGAACTTCAACAAAAGAGATTGTATTTCTCTATGTATGTAATCTTCTAAAAATGTTGCTACAAATACAATACCTTCCCCCCTCCTGGGAAAAAGGTAAATTCTGTGGTATTTCAAATATTTTTTAGAATCATACAGCAGTTTTTATCTCTGTGTGTGTATACTTAAATGTTCCCTATTATAATGATAACAATTTTAATTGGTGAGCTATAACTTTGAAATCCAACCTCTTTTTGCTCCACTGTGCTTCAATCAAATATTTATTAATATAATGTCTCAAAGTATCAGGATACAAATGCAACTTAATGACTGATTGCTTAATGACCACTCAAAGTTGAGTGAACTCAACACTGAAGATCTTTTGCGCATGCCCAAGATGGCGACTCCCGATGGAGCTCCGGTTTTGCGGGGGTGATGTCCTGGCGGTTAGGGGGTCCTTAGGGCCAACTGTCCACCTATGGCCCATGGTGTGGTGAGAGGGCTGATTCGCCGATCCGATGGGAGCATTTTCAGCTCTGGAAGACCTTTTGGGAGAGCAGTTTATGGCTTGGCTCTCTGGAACAGCTTGAACTGAGACGGGCGGTGCTGGTGGGGTGTAAGACGGCGAGACAGGCCTGGAGCTCCGTGACAGCCGACCCTGCATTCGTCGGAGGCTGCCGGAGGGATGGTGGTGCGCAGCTGCGGTGGCCATCTGGCACCCTGGCACTCTGTTGGACCCTGGCAATGGCAGGAGTTGCCTGCAGAGGCCAGCGGTGGGCGGAGTCGGCACGGAGGCCGATGGTGATGGCGGCAGTGATGACGGCGCCCAAAATGGCGGTTACCGGCGGCGGTAGTGGGAGCGGCGGAGACCAAAGAGGCCACAAGCGGGAGAGCAGGGACCTGCCTGACTATTTTCAGCGGAAACTCCTGGGCGACGGAGGGATGCTGACCCTTTCATTGTCGGGCCAGCCCTGGACCGCCTCCCAGAGGCCTCCCCCCTCCTTTTTTCTATGGGGGGGGGTTAAACCTTTATGCATGAAAGACCTGAAGGTGGCTAAGGAGATGGGAAGGGGATTGTTGTGTCTATGATGGGGGCTTTGCTTCTGCAAAGTGACTGCCTTATTCCATCTCCCCCCCTCCTGTATTTTTATCTCGCGTGCCCCTCTTGTGGCCAGATATTCGGCCTTTTGTGATCATGTGCTATCCAGGTTTGTTGTTTCCTGTATGTCAGGATGAGAGTTTCCCTACTTTTATGTCATCTGAGTCTCCCTGGATTCGCCTACTACATATTTCCCACAGACTATCCGTGTCTCTGAACTCAAGGATTGGCTATTCCATCTGTGCCTAGGTACAACATTGAAAGAACCGGACTAAAGCTGCTGTTTTTCTCCCTTATATCTGGTTGCCGTGAGAGGGTGACCGATGTTTACATCTGAGTTCAAAATGGCTTAAGTTTTCTACCGCTGATGTGAGAGGTCAGTGAGACTAAAATGACTTGTACCTCTGATTGATACTCTCTCCACGGGACCCTGGATAGCTAGGACATGCCTACCAGCTATGGACTATCTAGCTACAAAATGTACTCATTGGGAGAACTCCTCAAACTGCGAGATGCCCCCCTCTCACAGGTCTGGCCCTCTGCTTTATCGAGGGCCTATCTCGATGACAGACTTTGGAGTCCGGAGAGATGGCATGCAGCAAAAAGAGGGTTATGGGGTTTTTTAGGGAAATTTTTTAATAAGATTTTAAGGGATTCTGGGAGGGGGGTAGGTTGCGTGGGTTTGGGGGAAGACCCGCGGGGGAGGGTATCTGGGCCAGCCGAGGGGCGTGGCATGGGAGGTGCGAACTTAGGGGTCATGGAGGGGGTTAGAGCTTATGATACAGATGGCCATGACATCGATACTGTAGGTGGGAGGGGCAGATATGGCGGGAGCAGGGGGGGCCACATCATCTTGAGGGAGTGCGTCCTCGCTGGTTGCAAGCGGTGGCACGCTCCGGCCCCCAAAGCTCTTCTCGTTCCCCAGGTTGTACGGAACCTCGGGCCCCAGGCCTTCGGCCGATGCTGTGCAACGCCAGGTCCGTGGTAAATAAAGCCCCCCTCATTTATGACCTTATTCAGGAGGGGGGTGCGGACCTGGCGGGTATTACGGAGACCTGGTTGGGCCAAGAGGGGGGAGCTCCCCTTGTTGATATGTGCCCACCCAGTTTCCGTGCATTCCATCAGCCAAGGTCACAGGGGAGGGGCGGAGGGGTGGCGGTTGTTATTAACGAGGGTCTTGGACCGAGGGAGGCCACTGTTCCTCAGACAGCTGGATGTGAGTCCCTCCTTGTGAAGTGGGGTCATAGGGTGCAGTTGGGCTTGCTAGTCACATACCTGGCTCCCTGCCATGTGGCAGCAGCCCTGCACGAGCTGCTTGACGTTATAGCCGCGGTGGCGGTTGACACCCCCAGGTTTATGGTCATGGGGGATTTTAACCTGCCATCAGTTGGCGAGACGTCTGAGATGGCTCGGGAGTTCATGGCTTCCATGACGGCTATGGACCTGACCCAGTTAATTTATGGCCCTACTCACATGGGGGGACACACACTGGACCTGGTTTTTGTCTCTGGACAGTGGTTGAGTGATCTTGAGATAGGGGATATAGCGATTGAACCCTTGTCATGGTTCCTCGCCTGGACTTCCGAACCACCACACCCCGCCGCAGGGAGGCGGAACCGACCAGGTGGTTCCGCCCCAGGCGCCTGATGGATCCTGATAGGTTCCAGATGGAGCTTGGGCCATTTCCTCAGGTTCTGGCACACGACTCGGCTGAGGACTTAGTAGCCGCCTGGGATAGGGCGGCTGCTGGGGCTTTGGACCAAGTCATGCCTTTGCGGCCTCTGACCCGGCACCGGTCTCACCTGGCTCCTTGGTATACTGAGGAGCTGAGGGAGATGAAGCGCCGGAAAAGACGCCTAGAGAGCAGTTGGAGGGCTAGTCGTTCAGAATCCGACCGGACACTGGTAAGATCTCATATTAAGAATTACCTACTGGCGATAAAAGTAGAGAAGAGTAACTACTTTTCTGCTCTTATTGCGTCATCAGATAATCGCCCAGCCGCCCTGTTTAGGGTGACCCGCTCTCTGCTCCACCAGGGGGCAAGGGAGGACCCCTTGGAGGGTAGAGCTGAGGATTTTGTACAATATCTGTATGACAAAATCGCTCAGATTCGGGAACAGCTGGACTCTGACTGGGTAGATCCAGGGGAGATGACAGGGGCAGGTCCTGAGAATATTATATGGGAAGAGTTTGATCCTGTGACTCCCGAAAGCGTGGACAGGATACTGAGCAGACTGAGTGCGGCCACATATTTATTGGACCCGTGTCCCTCCTGGTTGGTACTGGCCTCCCGGGAGGTGACGCGAGGCTGGCTCCAGGAGATTATAAATGCTTCTTTGAGTGAGGGTGTCTTTCCCGCCGTCTTGAAAGAGGCGGTGGTGAGGCCCCTCCTCAAGAAGCTCTCCCTGGACCCGGCTGGGTTAGCAAATTATTGTCCTGTCTCCAACCTTCGCTTTGTTGCGAAGGTTATTGAGAGTGTGGTTGCACGGCAGCTGCCTCAGTACCTGGATGAATCGACTTATCTAGATCCGTTCCAGTCGGGCTTCAGGCCCAGGTACAGCACAGAGACGGCATTGGTCGCATTGGTTGATGATCTCTGGAGGGCTCGGGACAGGGGTTGCTCCTCTGTCCTGGTCCTATTAGACCTCTCAGCGGCTTTTGATACCATCGACCATGGTATCATGCTGCACCGGTTGGAAGGGTTGGGGGTGGTGGGCACTGTTTTACAGTGGTTCTCCTCCTTTCTCTCCGACCAGTCTGTGTTGACAGGGGGGCAGAGGTCGACCCCGAGGCCCCTTGTATGTGGGGTGCCGCAAGGATCGGTCCTCTCGCCCCTTCTGTTCAACATTTATGTGAAGCCGCTGGGTGAGATCATCCATGGTTTTGGGGTGAAGTACCATCAGTACGCTGATGACACCCAGCTGTACATCTCCACCCCAGACCATCCCAATGATGCCCTCGAGGTGATGTCCTGGTGCCTGGAGGCCGTACGGATCTGGATGGGGAGGAACAGACTCAGGCTCAACCCATCCAAGACCGAGTGGCTGTGGTTTCCGACGTCCCGATATAGTCAGTTGGCGCCATCTCTGACTATTGGGGGTGAGTCGTTGGCCCCCACAGATGGGGTTCACAACTTGGGCATCCTCCTGGACTTGCGGCTGTCTTTAGAAGAGCATATGGCGGCCGTGGCCAGGAGGACTTTTTATCAGGTTCGCCTGATTCGCCAGTTGCGTCCCTTTCTGGATTGGGACTCGTTACGCACGGTCACTCACGCCCTTGTCACCTCACGCCTGGATTATTGCAATGCTCTCTACATGGGGCTCCCCTTGAGGAGCACCCGGAGGCTCCAATTGGTCCAGAATGCGGCCGCGCGGGGGTGACGGGAGCGATGTGGTGCTCCCATGTGACCCCCCCTCCTGCGCGAGCTGCACTTGCTCCCAGTGTTCTTCCGGGTGCACTTCAAGGTTTTGGTTACCACCTTTAGAGCGCTCCATGGCTCAGGACCAGGGTACTTACGAGACCGCCTTCTGCCACCAGTAGCCTCTCACCGACCACTTCGCTCCCATAGAGAGGGACTCCTCAGGGTGCCGTCGGCCAAACAATGTCGACTGGCGGCCCCCAGGGGGAGAGCCTTCTCTGTGGGGGCACCTGCCATCTGGAACGAGCTCCCCCCAGAGATACAGAGGATCCATACGCATCTTCCGCCACGCCCTAAAAACGTTTTTATTCCAACAGGCTGGTCTGGCCTAACTCTCCCTTCTAAATTGGCTTTTAAATTGGGTTTTAAATGTTTTTTTAGATAAATTGGATGTTTTAATTTTTTGAGCCTAAATTATTTAATCTGTTTTTAATAGTTTTTAACTTTTGTATGTCTTTGTATTTTATTTTTGGCTGTTCACCGCCCTGAGTCCTTCGGGAGTAGGGCGGTATACAAATATGAAAAATAAATAAATAAATAAAGTTACAACACCTATAATGCACTTCTGACCATAGCAAAATGCCACACAACTTCCCCTGCATAGTCAGATGATTGCAAACTGGATTCTTAGCAACCTGATTGCATTTACCACCATTTGCCAAGTAATACCTCAGGATTATAATAGTTATCATTATAACAGAATACAGAGATGAGAACTGCTATATGAATCTAAACATACTTGAAATATTAAAGATGATGATCACATAATTCTATTTGCAATCTTCTCTACTGATTTCTCCAATGGCAAGAGATCAATGACGAAGTCTGCAGGGAAGGTTGCAAGCTGTTGCCACCTGCTGAGCACATTCCCTCTGGTCTCTGGGAGCTGGCTGAAAGAACTCCCAGCTGACTTGTGCATGCTTGGATTTTGAGGGTCAAAATCTGAGTTGGCAAGAGTAAAAATCGCAGATCACTCATGATGATGTCATGGCAGGTGGGCGGAGCCTTCTGCCGGTTTTACTACCAGTTCTATTGAACCGGACAGAACCGGGAGCAACCCACCACTGGTGTGTGTGTGTGTGTGTGTGTGTGTGTGTGTGTGTGTGCATGCGCGTGCACACACAAGCCCTAACCCTAACCTAATGCTAACGTCAATTTGGCCAATATTCAAACGCGTTTTAGCCTTCTATAAAAACTTTTTCATTAACCTATACATTTAATATAGCTAATAGGAATCTCCCATAAAATATACATATAAATGTAATGTTCACTTAAAAATAACAAATAATACTTGACTTTTAGTTTTTGCAAGTGTATGCACTAAATGAAAGTCTTTTCATAACTGAAGTACTTATAAAGAAAGATATGGATAAATTATAATTTATCCATTGTGTTTCAGTTAAGTAGCTTGTCTTGGAAGCTGTAAAAGATGATACCTTGTACTAGACTTTAGAAATTAAAAATTATAGGGAAGAGTCTCTGTGAGGAATTCCCTCTTGCTCTGAATCTGTGAGCATCCATTATCTTACTTTAAAATCAATTGGCAATGAGAAGTGTTCCTGAAGGCATCCTTCTGTGTTGTTTAATAAAGATTTCCTCTACTCATCATCCAATGATAGGTTAATTATTTTTTAATTATTTCTGTTGAGTTGCCCCCATACTTTAAGTAGTTTTGATTGTAATTTTGCAATTATTTTTTTATCATGGAATTGATCATTTTGTCTCAGGTCTTAATTCTAGAGAATTAGCAATAATTCTCTTTAACCCTTCCATGATTTTAAGATTTCTATGGATCCCAGATATGCCAACTACCAAACTTGTAAATTTAATCAATTTGTATAGAAATGGGTTGGAAATTCAAAGTCTGTTATCTTTTCTAGTTGAGAAAGTAATATATCTGGAATTAATACAGTTCTAATCAGTCCATTAGAGAAGGAGCCATCATTCCTTCTTCTCTCTATGGCATATCAATATATTGTATATAAGTTCATCCAGTTTTTCTCTCCAGTCTTTGGAATTGAGCTCTTGTTTTGAAGTGAGTGAGGAAGACCTGTTTAATTTATGAGCATATTATTAAAATAATATTATATTCACTAAGACAAATTTAAAAAGTTCAGGCACAAATCATTTACCATGAACTATCTATATGAGCAATATATACTGTCAGGGTAATGATGATTTAATAGGTGACCAGCTGCTGTAAGGCTGTAAACTGAAATGATGATGCAATGAGAATGAATCAGCAGAGTTATCACTTTAAGAGGCTGTCTATATAAGAGAGGCCGGGTGAGGGTCTCTCTCTCCATGTGTGCTTCCTTCCTATAGTTGATGATTGATTGCCTGACTTTGTCTAATATGTGTATGTATATTCTTTGTAGATAAATCACTGTTTGAAAGACAAACATCCTTTTACTGTATTTTGCCCCTAGGTTGTCTTAAAATAGTCGCATTGTGCGCACTCTGACATAGGTTTGAGCAGGATGAAAAGCAATCATGAAAATCAGGTCTGCAGAAAGCAGGAATCCTGCCTCCCTCTCAGCCAAAAGAAAATAGAGGGACAAAAAAACCAGGTCAGAAAGTGGATAGAAGGGGACCTTCCATAAGAAACAAGCAGAATTAACTTTGCCAATGTAATTTCTAGTTCCATTCCCACTAGTTTCATTCATTCTAAATTTCCTATGTATAGCATTTGGAAGTACGCAAGCAATAAAAATGACACTTCCAGAGAGAACCTTCATCTTCCAGCTACCTCAGTTATAGATGGATAATGACACACAGGTGGTAACAGGTAGACATATCCTTGGGAAATAGTAGTCTGCTCTTGTAGCAGGAGAAGGAGGCTGCCTATCCTGAGATCTACCTATATTCAAGCACAAGCCAAATCCCTAGCCAAGGAAAAGAAACACTACAACTTCTTCTTTAAAAGAATAACTCATTTGGAGCTTTCAGGTGAGAATGGCATTTAATACTAAACAACTAATTCAGTTGTTCTTACTATTATACTGAGGGCAAAAACCAGAATACTTACTTGAAGATATGCTTGATGGATTTTATCAAATAAGAAAGCCTGAGGCATTTCACTTGCTCTGTATTTGGCACGATCTAGTGAATGGTCTAAACATCCCTCTGTAGTGGAAGCAATAACTGTGGAGACAAGAGGACGGATTGCTCCTGCTGCCTAGGGTACATAAAAACGTCAGTTTTAAAACAAGTCAATTCAAATTAAAAAGTTTAATCTTCACATATTGTATTTTTCGGAGTATAAGATGCCCCGGACTATAAGACGCACCTACCTTTTTTGGTGAGGAAAACAAGAAAAATAAATCTGCCTCTGTCTGCCAGAAATTTTGCCTCATTGCAGCAAACAGCAAATAGCCTGCTTTACTTTCATTTTCGTTTTCAGCATAGCTTGATTAGCACAAGAAAAAAAAATCTGCTCCCAGCAATTTACCTCCTTGTAGCAAGCAGCAGAGGCCCGGGCAAAATAACTGAGAGTCGGGAGGCCGATCCAACAGAGAATCAACTTGTGCTAATTAGGCTGTGCTGAAGCTGAAATGGGCTATTTCTTCTTGCTGCTTGCTGCAAGGAGGTAAATTGCTGGGAGGCAGAGGTCAAAGGGTGGGGGCCAGTGGGTGGGCGGGGCTACATTCAGGTATAAGACGCACCTAAATTTTCACCCCCTTTTAGGGGGAAAAAAGTTGCATCTTATACTCTAAAAAATACGGTACATTATTAGTTAGCCAAATATAGATACAGATGAATTCCATGTGAATTCATAAACGACAGAATTAATTACACAAAATATTTATATATCAGGTTCATGCACGATCAACTAATTGCACTAGATAACAAAATTATTCAATGATACACAAATAATTAATGCAAACTCTTATTTATATTTTCTGTGTTTTTTAAATGGAAAATTCATTATCATTACTTGATAATTAAGCTGATCATCAAATTGACATACTTAATTAAGCTAGCTCTTAATATTGATTGAATGCTGTTGAATGTATGCAAAGTTTCTTTGAATTTGTGTATCAAAGATTTTCTGAACAATACTGAAAAAAATTGATGGTTTTGCCTTCAAATGGAACAAGATTACATGATCAAATGTGAATCAGCCGTTATCAAAAATAACTTATTACAGTGATCATTGTGAAACAGCTTACTTATATTAAAACCTTTAATTGTGTTGTGGCTTCATTGCCTGAGCCTGGGCTATCGACAGATGCAGATCTGAGAGTGAGGGTGAGAAGTTGGTAAGGCTTCCCTCTCCAGGACCCTCCTTTCTGGCAATGCCTCCGGAGGACACCGAAGGCCAAGAGATAGACCCAGAGCCAAGCACGTCCCCACAGCCACAGGGGGACAGCGACGAAGGAGATAAGTGCTGGCTGGATCCTCGACAGTGGCGCAGAGGGGAAGGCGTGCCAGAGATTAGCTGAGTCACTGGACCACACCCCACAGGGTATAAATGTGGGTGTGGTGGCCAGTTCAGTTTGTGACGAGCAAAAACTAGAAATAATCCATGATCTCTGTGTTACTGGACTTCTGCCTGCCTTGTCGGACTGCATTTGGACTAATCCTTGTATTGCTGAATCTTTGCCTGCTTTATCGGAATGCTTGCAGTCTAATCTTTGTTTTGTGTGAGTAAAGTCTGAATTGGCAGCTAGCCACTGGGTTGCTGCCAGCTTTATCTTCAAAGACTTTGTCGTGTGGCTTAATTAACTCCGGGCCGTCTGTGGGGGTGCGTGTGTGGGACGGGGACAGAACAAATTGTCTATATATTTCATTTCTGGTTCATTGATAAATAACTATAAAATATTTGTTTGCCTATTAAATTTGATTTAATAGCTTTGTAAAGGAGTACCGTAACATTAGATTAACTTAATTTAGACAAAGGATAGTGCTTGAAACATTCATACACTTTCAATACTTGTTTTTAAATTATAGGCTTATGTATGTATGTATGTATGTATGTATGTATGTATGTGTGTGTATGTATGTGTGTATGTGTATATGTGTATATGTGTATGTATGTACATATATGTGTGTATATGTGTGTATTTCTAAACATAAAACGTGTAAAACAAGATGCTAAAACGTAACAGGTAAGCAGACCTTTATTTATAACAAATACACAAATTCTGTCACCAGGATATCCTTATAGATATCCTATGCTAAGCATTCATGAAAATGGTGAATTAATTTCTAATATAAATTAGATTGATATAAATAATAAACTCCAATTACAGGAAATGGTTAGTAATAAGGCTTTGAGAACAAGTTTCTTTCCCCTGTTTAAAATTCAGGTCTATTTGTACAAGTATAAATAAAATACAAAAGTAGATTAAAACTGTGTAACTCATGTCATCAATTGTTTCTTTCATCAAATTAAACATTAACACTTCTAAAAATAATATTCATATTAATATGGTTTCTAAGCATAGCACAAAGATCAAAAGCAAAGGGATGTGTAAAATCATCTTGATCTTATCACTGACTTTGTTGGGAAGGTTTTAGTTTACCAATATTTATTCAGATTCCTTATTTATCCAATTCTGCCCACTATTTGTTTCTCTTATTGATAGAACACTCCCAACTGGAACTAGAATGTACACAATTGAAACAACTTTTATTTGACAGCATTCATAACCACGTTGTCAGGATTCAGTGTCGTCTCAAATAAACTGCATTTCAAGCTGTATTCACTCCAGTGCTGACACACGTGTTACAAATTCTACATTCAAGCAGAATTAACTGTGCACTTATTTTTGCAACAAGTAGGAACATGTACTTCTGTTCAGACATCCATACTCTCACAAATTATATATCCAATAATCAACATGCTTTACCCATAACTGTAATTATCACTTCTGCTAGCAGAACTGTCTTAAAGAATTATCTCTTTTACATTTTTAGAAATGCCACCTTCAAAGAAAAAGCAACCACGATTATGTGACTTGAATATTTCAGTTATTTTTCAGAAAGTACATATTTTGTATAATGAACATTAAATTGATATTGGATACCACTTCCTTGCCATTAAATTGATTCTGTAATTATTTTAATTACCAACAAAACTGAAAATTAATTTGTAGCAACTAGAGAAGCAACATTTATATGTTGCAATATTGCTTATCAGTAAACCCATGGTTATTCTTTGAGATCACACACATTTATTTTGGACACTTTTTGGATAATCACTTGCTTTTAAGTTCTGGTATTACTATGGAAATATATTTTCAGTGAGCATAGTATCAGACTCTCAGTGCAAGAAAAGAAAAAAATACCATGAACAATTATGTGAACATTATATTGTTAACATACAGTGGTAATTTGAGAGAGGGGAAAAATCTCTTTATGTTTACATGATTTTATATACACATCTCCTCAATTGCCTTTCCCTATAGAATCCCACATTTCTATATATTTTTCTTCTCGTAAGGAAATACCTTCATTTTTTAACAACCGAAGTCTAGGGTGAGACAGAAATAAATTAGCAGGAAACATTAAACTGTAATTTGACTTAGATCCAGATCTTCTTGTACTTTAGCTAGAGCTATGCAAATGTATTTAATCTGTTTACTTTTTCTAGGTTGTCTGTTGGATTTATTTTAGACATAACTAGATCTAAATCATTTATTGAAAGAAGCAGTTTCATACTGCAGATACTGGAAATTGCAGCACAAATAATAGCAACCACACATAATAATATCACCTTTCCCACAGTATAGTTCTTAAAAACAGGAAATTGTGAATAGATATTCAGTGAAATACATTGCACTGTAAACTGTTAGTTACAGTTCCTAAACTTATTTAAAAAGTTTCCACTGCAAAAATAATAATGCTCTTCAGAGAAAAACCATCTACATAGTGTGGCTGAATTACACAAGCAGTTATAACACAAATTAAATTTACTATTTACTAAAAATAGATGACTATGAAAAAATTATGATTTTCATGTCTGCAAAAGAGTCAAAACACAAATATGAGCAAATACAACCCAGGATACTATTATCTGAGAATGAGGGAAGTTATGCTATCTGGCATTCCTGGTGGCTGAAAAAGATATGAAGCAAGAGAGGGTTGAAACACAGCAGAAGTCAATGCCACGCAGGTCAGAGCGATGGAACAAGGGGATTCCACCTCACAGGTATTCTGCTAGTAAAGTAAATGTGTAATGTGTGGTATGAGCCAAGGAACTATAAAGAAGTATTGGTGTTATCTAAAATTGAACAAGTAAAGTGGAAAGAAACCATGGACAAAGAAATGAAATCCATGGATGAACATAAAGTGTTCACATCTATGACTTTGCGACAGGGTTGCAAAGCCATAGGATGTAAATGGGTATACAAAAAGAAAGTACTACCCAATAATGAGGTCCAATATAAAGCAATATATTAGCATTTGTGGATGATCTTTGATTCATTGCGAAGGATGTATCACAGTTAAAAGAATTTGCTAATAAGTTAGAGAAGCAGTTTGAATTAAAAAATTTGGGAGAAATACAAAATTACCTTGGTGTGGAGATACAAAAAACTGAGAAAGGTGTTATGTTCTCAGTCAAAAAATAAAAATTGAACAGCTGTCGGAGAAATGTAATATGAAGAATTATAATCCTGCTCCAACACCTATGAGCACAGATTTTTCTAACAGTTTGGGTGAGGACAAAAGTGAAGCCTGTGATCAAGAGATATATCAGTGAGCAATAGGGAGTCTGTTATATCTGTCACAGTGGTCCAGATCAGACATAGCTTGTGCAGTAAGCATCTTGAGTCACTTTACTGCTGCACCAACACAATTACATTGGATGTGTGTAAAAAGATTCTCAGGTATTTGAAGGGAACTGTGAATTTGGGTCTTCAAATACAGGTCTCTGAAGAATTAAAATTGAAATGTTATGTTGATAGTGATTATGCCAACGATATAAAAACCAGAAAGTCCAATTCTGGGATTGTGGTATTGTTTGGAGGGACATTTAATTGGAAGTCCAGAAAGCAAACAACTGTAGCCATTTCTACTGTGGAGGCAGAATTTATTACTTTATCTGAACTTTGTTCAGAGGTAACTTGGTATGTACAGCTGTTATGGGATTTAAATGTAAAAGTAAATAAAGCTGTAACAGTGTATGAGGATAATGCCACCTGCATTAAAATAGAAATAGGTGACAGAGTA